CAGGACTATCAAGGAATCGATGATATGCTCTAGGAAATATAAAAAAATATGGCCATTCCAGAGATATTTAAATTTTAGGTAGAAACAACATTTCTATACTCTCCTATATATATTTATATTAATATTTATGTTAAATTTATAATAAGTGACGTAAACAGTGCCTATAGTATTTTTAATTTATAATACAACTGTATTATAACAATAATATTCAATTAAATAAGTTATCAATTTAAAACTAAATATGTTAGAAATTTTACCCACAAACATCGAAAACTCCATAGATATCCAAAACTATTCTTATTCTGTATTTATCTAGATTAGTTTAGCATTTATTGAAATATTTGTTTAATTTTAATAGAACTAAATTTTTGTTTTAAAATTTCCTTATACCTAACACTATTTATGTATATATGATTTCTGTTACATTAAACCTTTGGAGTATTAATTGATTATTTCAATTTAATAATTATAATTTAATTAAACTAAAATTATATTATAATAGATCAACTGTTTAATGATTTTGGTGAATTATAAATTGAACTTGTAAAATTTGAAACGTATAATAAGCCTAGGAGTGAAGAGACAATAGTTTCAACGCAAATAATTTTACAATGTGCATAATAATGATTATTACCGTATTCCCGCGCAAACACCGGCATGCCATTATAAGTGAGGTTAATCATTTTCACAAAAATGGCGTTATGATACCTTACCGGCATGCCGGTATAAAGTGAGGCACATAATTATAAATGGTTATGTATACCCTTGAACCATAACTATTCAAATAATGATTTTATTTTTATTTATGTTTTTGTAACATATTCCTATTTATACTGCAAAAATAAGCAGCCAAATGATAAATTTAACAAGATATATGGTTAATGTTTGTTTTAAGACATTTTAATAACAAAATATTAATATATTTTGAAATATTAAAAATCATAATTGACACCTCACTTATTACGGCATGCCGGTATACACCGGGGTATAACGGCAGTCTCATCAACCTCACTTTACACCACCATGCCGGTGTTTGCGCGGGAATACGGTAAACAATTATTAAATATTTAATATAATTTTACAAATAATGACAGATTTTACTACGATTTTAATAAAGTGATTAATTAATTGAATCATATTAATTTTAAATATATTAATTAAGTAGCTATACAATAATAAACTCAATAAAACATAAATTTAAGTTGTATTGACTAACAGAGGGAGCCATTTAGAATTGGGCTATTCATATCATCCATATAGTTAAATGCAACAAGGTCGCTCGCAAATAGTTTGACAGTCCGAATAGCAAGCTATGTCAATCCACTTTAAACTGTTGGGTGCATACACACTAACACAAACCTCGACGGCATCAATGCCCCCGAGGTTATTGCCATTTGGTTCACTCTCTGCCCAATTGGTGTACGTCAGCTGATCCCCATTAGACCAAATGAAACTGTCCGAGCTGTCAGCTTTTAACACCCTGGTAGCATCTAACCAAAAGTAAGCACCGAACTTTTGACCTTTAAGCCACTGGGTTATAAAATTGTTCTTGGCTGCACTTTTAATTGAAATGAGCTTGGCGTTATATTTCTGAGCGCATGTTTTTAGTGCAGTCGTATAATTGGATCCGTTAGATGTTAGATCGGGTATTAGTAGGCAATCGTTGTCAACACCTTTAGTCCAACCGCACGGACAGTCTGCTTAATAATAAAAATAAAAAATACGTTAAAAATTATTTGTACAATGATAATTTAATAAAATATAATAAAATAAATATATTTAATAAAATTTTTAAATCTGAATTTGAATTTTTATAAAATTTGTCATTATGTAATGTAAATAATAATAATAAAATTCATCATTATTCAAAATTCAAGATATAAATAATGATATCTATTAGATATAAGTATCGTGATTTTGAAATTGTAATTTTATATAAATCATAATAATTAGTATACTCACCGCAATTTGTGTCGCATGTTGTATTAATTAAATTGCCATTGTTAATCGTAACAGAACCACCATTGATAATTAGTTGACAATTATTACCGCAATAGTTTTCATTATTGCAGGTATTAGCTAATTTAAAATTTAATATTTAATATTAAATTGAGCATTTCTATATTTACCTGACAAACAAACAACGGTAAGATTTAAAAATAAAATAGTTATTTTCATTGTTAATTATTAAAATTTATTTAAGATATATTATTATCATACTAAATTATATGTGCTTTATGGTGTATTTATAGAAAACTTTCACAACATTTTACAAGCATAATTTATTATAGTGGAATAGGTAACATGATAAAACTATCTACGTTAAACCTTTAACAATAAGCTGCACAAAGTATAACTACCTCGATAACGGATTGTAAAAATGAAACATTTCATGTAGTTAATGTTGTTTGTCATAAACCTGATAACATAGATGATTTTATTGCTTGTGACTTTAATAATATTATAGTAAAAATAAATTTTTGGATTTAATCTATTATTTTGAAATTTATGACATTATTTTGTCGAAAGATTATTTGAATATGTTTTATTAAATGAATCGTATTTTATTAGTTTATATTGAAATAAATTATCAAACATTTCATACGAAATGGCATTTTATTTACGATATCAATATAAATTATAATAAATAATAAGATTAACATCTTAGTAACTTAAATAACTTATAATACTATGTGAAGGTTCTTTATTAAACATGAAACTGAATGGCAATATTCATTTTTATTTAAATAGAATTTTCATGTTTAATTATTATATAAATAAATCAAAAAAATTACAATTACAAATAACAATAATAACCTACATGATTAAATGCAACAAGGTCGCTCGCAAATAGATCGCCGGTTGCAATCCCGATGGCAAGGTACGTCCACCCATTGCAAACTCATCGGGGAACTGGGTGCTTCCACATTTATACAAACCTCGACGCCCTCGATGTCCCCGAGGTTATTGCCATTAGGTTCACCCACTACCCAGTTGGTGTACGTCAGCTGATCGCCATTATACCAATAAAAGCTGTCCGAGTTGTCAGTTTTTAGCACCCTGGTAGCATCTAGCCAAAAATAAGCATCGAACTTTTGATCCTTAAACCACTGGGTTATAAAATTGTTCTTGGCTGCACTTTTAATTGAAATGAGCTTGGCGTTATATTTCTGAGCGCATGTTTTCAGTGCAGTTGTATAATTGGTTTTCGTATTTGTCTCGCCGTGTATTATTAGACATTCATTGTCCACACCTTTTGTCCAACCGGGCGGACAGTCTATTTGCAGGATTAAAATACATTATAACTTATACAGTAATTATATTTTATGAAATATTAAAATTAGATTTTGAAATCTTTTGTCGAGATGTGTGAAATAATCATTACTAATGATTACTACTAATGATATACTAATTATTAAGATTTATATAAAATTCAAAAATCCAAAATCACGAACTTTATAACCATGAATCTAATGAATCATTAGATTCATGGTTATAAAGTTCGTGATTTTGAATTTTTGAATTTTATATAAATCTTAATAATTAGTATACTCACCGCAATTTGTGTCGCATGTCGTGTTAATACAATTGTCATTGTTAATTGTAACAGAACCACCATTGATGATTAGTTAACAATTATTGCCGCAATAGTTGACGTTGTTGCATTTATCGGCTAATATAAAATATAATTACTATTAAATTACTATTAATTTAGGCATGCTAATAATTGGTTACCGGATAAGCAAACTACCGCAAGATTTAATAATAATATAGTTATTTTCATTGTTAAATATTAAAATATTTTTTAGCATATTTAGATATTGAATACCCTATGTTGTATTATATTTATATAAACTTTCCCTTACGTGTGAAATACATTATTATTTTATGGATCTATAAAATCTACAAAGTGAAATAGATCATTTTGATAAAACTATTTAATTTTAGCATATAACTATTTTAACAAAGTATAAATACTGCGTTAAAGGTTTATTAACAAGAGGTATTTCTTTAATCTTATTGTATTTTGGCGTAAACATGATAACATAACTGATAATCCTATAACCAGTGACTTTAGGGCTTCTGTTTATCAAATATAAGACAGTAATAAATTTTTAATGTAATAATTATTGTTTTATTGATAAAATTATTTCATAAGTAATTGAATCAGTGTGACCAACTCAAGTTTCGTAATTAATGGACATTTAGATAAAATAATTGAATAAATAGTGGACAACATATTTTATAGTGGAATTGAATTACAATTTTTTGAAAATATTTTTTCTGTTGATCTCACTAACAGCAGAAATTTTTGACTAATTTTGTCATTAGTTTTATATATATTTTTTCATATTAATTTGCTGCACTAAATGAAATTTAGTTAAATGATAATGTATTTTATTATGATTATCATGTGAAATGCAATTTACATAGCAGTTTTATGTTGCAATTATTTTTCT